CTTATAAGTCCACACTTCCACTTTATGAACTTATAAAGTCATACCATTTTTAACAGTGTGTGTAAACAGCCAGTTGAAAAGAGAGAAAAAAAAGACATCAAAAAAAATTAAATTGAAAAAATGATTTTTTCAAAAACAAAAAACAAAAAAAAAATCCATCGAAAAACATGTTGTGAATTGGATTCACAAATGGATGTGATGATGATGAACAGACGACGACGACGACGAATAACGATGTGCGTGTGCTCCCAAAGCAAAAAAATCCCCGAGATTCGTCTTTCACCAAACGAAGCAGAAAACTAAACTAAAAAAAAATGATGAAAAACAGGACAGCGAAAAAAACAAATAACAAAAAAAAAACACCAACCAAAAACACCGAAAAAAAAATCGACGAACCCCGAAAAAAAAGTTTCTTTAGCGAAGAATAATGATATTTCAGTTTTTTGGAAATTTCAGTTTTTTTTCCTATCAATTGCGCTAGCGCGAAAATTTTCGTCTGCATTCAATAACATGAATTGCGGCTGGCAGAAAAAAAAATCCAACAAAAAAAAATTAATAATCATTTTTTTTCTCTCTCTCTCTCTCTCTATTTCTCCATTATGGGATTGTAGTCTCTCTCTCTCTTTCTCAAGCGAATACACAATAGAAATTCATTCGTTTTTTTCTTTTGTTTGTAAAAAAATTGTGGGTGTAACAACAATATACCAAATGAATGAACGAAAAAAAAACTTTGAAATGAATTTTCTTCATTTAATTTACACCTGGGGAAAAAAAAGCAAAAGGGGGGGACAAATTGAAATTGTTGTTTTTCTTTTTGATTATCATTTCATCGACGTTGTTGTTGGATTTTTGCGAAAAAAAAGTTTTTTCAATGAATTTTTCATTTCGTAAAAGAGAAAAACATTTTTTTTTTGTTGTTGTTGAAAAACTGGTCGGAAATGGTGGTTAATGTGCGCAATCGTATAATAACGATTGTTAATTGAATTTATTTTTTGGCCAAAAAAAATAAAAAAAAATCCAAAATCTTTTTTTTTCGGGGGTGTTGGCGGGGGAGATCGGTATATTTCAAAAATTTTTTATTGAAAAAAAAATCTGTTTCTTCCACCATTCATCCAACAACAACAACTACTGAATTAATTTAAATTGATTCGTTGGTTGATTGATTTTTTCCCTTCAATATTTTTTTTCGTTGTTGTTGTTGTTTGCTTCTCATCATGAATTTGTTGTTGAAAAAATTCATTCATTCATTTTTTCTGTTGTTCTGGGCCTGGAGAAGAAAAATATGATGCGATCAACCGTAAAAAAATTCTTTATTCACCATCCATCCATAGATTTATAATGTTTTTTTTTTTGGAAAAGGAAAACACAAAACAAAACAGAAAAAAAATTGTAAAAATTAAAACAATGATAATTGAAAAACTCCCAACATCATTTGTTTTTTACCAGAAAACAAAATCTATCATTCAATTCAATCAGTGAGAAAGAGAGAATGGAGTCAACAATCATATAATCGGATTTTTTTTTTGCTTTTTGATGACAAAATTGCGAATTTTTTTTTTCTAAAATATTTCTCATATCACTTGACCGATTTTTCAAAAAAAAAAAATTGTTGAAAATCAATAATCGATAACACCGAGAATGAATATTATGGAAACCAAAAAAAAAAATTGTGCCAACCACCCATGGATTGATTATTTTTTTTCATGAAATTATTCTTCTATCCTTTCCCCCCTCGCACCAAAGAAACAGTGCGAAAAAATATCAAGATGACAAGTGAAACAAAAACCAACCCCATTTCCAAAAAAAATGAATTTTTCGACCAAAAAAAATCGAATTGAGAATTTTTCGATTGATTTTTTTTTGTTGTTCATCTTTTTTTTCCTTTTGGATTTTTTCCTCTTCTTTTTTGAGATAATAATAATGTTATAACCTATGGAAACTTTTTTTGTCTTAAGTAGATACTGTTGTTATCGTCGTTATCGTTAATAATAACAACCTCGAGGGTATATTCGATATACACACATACACACACAAAAACGATTCACTCATCTTACTTGGTTAAAGAAGGAGAAAAAAAAAGTTGTTGTTGTTGTTGTTGTTTTTCTCTGAATTTCATGTCGAGTTGAACACATTTTTCTTTTCACTCTTTTTATTTTATTTTTTGAAAAAAAAATTTGTTTGACAAGTGAAAATTGAATTTGTTTTAAACATCCACGAATCAAATATGTGTACACATGATCGTATTTTGACAAAAAACAATGATCCTAAAAATGATAATCAATCTAATTTACAATCAAATATTGATGAAAATTTTGTGTTTATAACGATACCATTGGATATGGATAATGATAACGACATTAATAATAATAATATTGATAATGTAAAAAAAGAAGAACAAAATATTCGACCACCAAAAAGATTTGGCGAAATTAATTTGGATTTACAACGATATTCATCCAATCGTTTGGATAAAATGGATGATGGTACAAAATTTATTCATTCAATTGCAACAATCATATTGTTCATTTTAATATTGGCTATTTTTCAATTATTGATTTATTTATATTCATCATTATTTTTGTAATCAGATTTAAAAAATTGATCATATTTTTGTAATTAAATTCAAATTATTAATTTCGAATATTTCAAACATAAACACACTCATCAGCGACAAGACTGCCATCTATCAAACGTCAATCAAATCGATTTATGAAACAAAACAAAACAAAAAAAATTTTAATTTAAAAAAAAACTTTATAACCGAATCCAAACAAAAAAATAGATAGAATCAAAATAATTTTTGTGAAACAAAATTAACATCACTTAATGAAATTAACATTAACATTAACAATAAATTGATTGATCGACAAAATATATGAACTAAACATATTAAATGAATGAAAAAAAGTAAACGAAACAAAATAAGTTGATTATGATCAATCGAAAAAAAAGTGAGGAAAGAATGTTTTGTTTTTGTTTCATGGTGATGGATTCGGTGAAAATGGTGATGGATTCAGTGAAAATGATTCTAATTGATGATCCAATGATGATGATGATGATACAGGATTCACCCTAATATCTGGATTATTTTTATGGATTTGATTGACAAAAAAACGTATCATTGTCGGACAATCTGCACCACCAAATGCTAATGGATTGAATGATTGATCTTTGGTCATCGATGTACCACCACCACCACCACTGTTCACCGATAATTGGGTATTCAAATGTTTATTTTTTTGATTACGATAATTGGATTTATTTGTATTCTTTTTCGGTGATTTAGGTATAATCGTCATCGTTGTTGGATCATTCGAATTCGTATTACAACACGTTGCTTCTTTAAGTTTTTGTATAGCACCATATAAACGATGTTTCAAATCTTTTAACATACATAATTGATCAACAGTTAAATCTTGATTACGATTAATAAAATCATTTAAATTCATTCGTACATGATGTAATGCTTCTAATTCATCATTTAATTCTTCAAAAGTATATTTTCTTTGATGATTTGATGTTGTTTGATAATGATTATTATCATTATAATCAGTTCGTTCAACACATTCAACACGTATCAATACATACCGAATGGTACGTTCTAATTCATCTTGGCTAACCATATTTTATATTCAGGTGTTTAAAACAATACCTTTTTTGGATTTGAAAAAATTATTAATAGATTTTATTTAATACAGATATCTAATTATTATTACCATACATACCAAAAATCATCAATGATAATAATTTAATGAAATACATTCAAATCAATATTGAAACAAAAAAAAATATTGTTTAGATGAAAAGAAAAATTATTTAAAGTAAAATCAATAATTTTCAATCGTATTTATAGCCAAATAAATTGATAAACTAGTCAAATTCAAATTTTGTTTGTCTGTCAAATATGTCATTTGAAAATGATGATTTTTTTTTTGTTTTGTTTTGTCTTGTTCTGAAACAAAACAATTCGTCATCATTTTTACTGGGCGTTTTTATTTGACCTTTATACTTGTTTGATTGAAATTGACGAAAAATGTTTTTGTTCCTTAAAGTAAGAAAATTTTTTTTTTTTGCTTGCGTTCGTTGACACCGATTTTTTTGATGTTTATCCATTTAGTAAAGTAATCAATTTCAAAATTGATTAATCAATAACCATGATAATGATAATGAAAAACGAATTTTGGTTTTTTTTTGTAATTCTGATCAGAATAATTGATTCGTAAGATTATGATTGTTATACAATGATAAATAATTTACTTTTAATATTTTGGCATTTCATCAACAAACAACAACAACAAAAAATTTTATTACGATTCGATTTACTTCTCCGGAAAATAATGATTTTCTTCATTTTTCAGTTTTTGTTTTTCGTTTTCTGCAAAAAAAACCATTTTCTTGGAAAACTTTCGTTTTGACAAAATTGTTTCCCATTCATTTCAATTGATCAATAATTTTTCAAATGTTTTTTTTCATTTTTGAAATTTTGAATGACAAAAGTTTCTTAGAAAACAATCGAATTGTCCTTATATTCATATTTATTAACCATTAATGTTAATTTGATAATTGTCACGTTATTATCATCATCATTATATAATTCGTACATTCTCTTTTCGATTTGTTAACCGTTGGACGTGAAAAATATTGGAAAAAATGACGAAAATGTATCCTTATGAACAATTTTTTTGTTTTGTTTTTGAAAAATCATTTGGCAAAAAAGAATTTAACACCGGTAGGAAAAAATACTAAACAAAAAAATTGGATTTTTTAAAAAATCAAAAGCTACTCGAATTTTATCGAGGGTTGATCACGAGTATATGATGATATTTAATGTAATGAATTTTATCAATAAAATTGATCCATATAACTTTCCCATAGAGACAATCTTGAATATTATCTTATGATTTTTGTTGTTTTATTATGATTTTTTTTTTGTTGTCTAAATTTTATAATCATCATTCTGTATGAATGAGGCACACACAACATTTAAATTGTTGAAAAATAAATTAAATTAATTGTATTAAAATAATGGCTTATTCAATTTGGAAAAATATTCGTATGATTATTATTGAAATAATTCGAATGATTAGTCCATTATTACGTAATCATCGTTCATTTGAATATTTACAAATATATTTTCAACAGTATAGAATTGTCGAAAATTATCATTCATGTCCAAAATTATATCAACAATGTGTACGCGATCCATTATGTTTAATCAGTTTAATGTTTATATTAACTACGTTAAAATTACTTTATAATTGTCATTTTGGTTTATTAAATGATCGTTTATGGGTGCAAAATCATATGGATGTTATTGCGACTGCAAACATGAGTAAAGCAGCATATTGGTTGGCCGCATTAATGATGATTCGTTGCATAAGTAATGTATATTTTTTATATTATAATAATCCAACTGTTTATCATATAAAATCAATATTGATTGATCAACGAAAACATTGTTTTCAATGGCCATTTTATTATCGATCAAAATTAATTATGGATTATATTACTAATTTTTCATGTTCTGTTCTAACCATTGGTTCTTCGTTTTTTATCACTATTTTGTTATTTATGATTCTAATGTATTTTATTGCAATGAAATTTGTTGCCGATAATGTCAACTACTTTCATCTTGAAACAATCGGATCGATCGAATACGGGAAATTATTTGTATTGCTATTCAATGCATATTTAATGCAAACGGCATCATATTTCTATGCACATTTTGAGATATTAGCAGCATCATGTATGCAAATTTATCTAAAAATATTCGATATTCATGTTTCGCAAGCTGAACAAGCATTATTTCAATTGAAAGAACGTTCAAAACGTAATGATTTTATATTCATAACAAATTGTTTATTAAAATTCCAAAATTTATGTACAAAAAATCTTAAGTACATTCATTTGGCTAATCATATTTATGGTCGTTTATTTTTACTATTTATGATATCACAAATACCGTTTAATTGTTATCTGGCTATATTTTTAACTAAAGGTGAACATAAGTGGATTTTTTCTTATTTTTATGCAACATTATATATACAACAGATTGCCTGTATATTTGGTGTTCATTATCAATTAGTTCAACATAATCGACGATTTAATTATTCGGCAACTAGATTTATTCATATAATGGCACGTACACGATTCTATCGTGTAAATTTATGTCGTAAATTAAAGTTAACAAATTTTGCTCAAGCATTTCATACGATTAATCGTTATGGATTTAGTTATGGTAAAATTGAATTAATAACAATGAATGAATTTATCAAGGTTTGTAATTAGAATAACAATTTACAATTTTATTTTAAATTTTTCTTATGTATTCTTCATTTCAACAGTATGCATCATTATATTCACAGTTATTAATGTTCATTTATTCACATGTTCGATTTCAAAATGAATGATCATAATGAAATGAATCAACAAATCAATAATCGATAAAAACTATAAATCATTTTGTTTTTGCTGCTGAAATCATTGAACAATCATTCTGAGAAAATCATTTTTTTTGCATTCAACATTTAACCTAGAATAAAAATCCTTATAATTATTCTTAATTTGTTTCATAATTTTTATCAAATACAAAATAAAATTTAAATTTATATCTAAAAAAATTACAAAATTTTTATTAGAAATCGATAAAATGATTTTGTTTTTTACAAAAACTTTTTTTAAATTTATGACCTCAATGAATGATTCAATGTCAAAAAATAAGAATTGAAACTTTTCTCATTAATTATCAAAACAAAATTCCAATCGATTATGGTTAATCGAATATGAATCGTTTTTTTCGCATGAATAATTTTATAATTTCACCTGGAAAACGTTTCATTCATCATTATCATCATTAATTTTAGGAAATATTTTCTTCGAGCGAGTATCCGAAATAAAATAGGGTACCATATTCAGATGAACATTAACGAATGAATAGTGAAACAAAAAAAAAATGATAATGAAAATAAAATTCAAAATATCAAAATATTTTGATCATGTTTACATTGGTTTCAAACAATTGTTTTATATTACATCGTTATTATTGACAAATCGTTGGCTAGAATTTTATCGATCATTTTTTGATATGTGTACGATAATTCGTCGACGAAAATCTGATCCGGAACAATTTCGTCATCTAGTACAACCAAAAATTTCAGCATTAATTATGATTGCAATTTTATTTTCAATAAAATCAATCTACAATTGTTATTGGAGTAATAAGAAGGATAAAATTTGGGTGAAAATTAATGCCGATGTAATTACCGATGCAAATCTACATTCAAATGCTAATTGGTTTATGATATCTTCGCTTATAGCTATTGATTTAGTAACATTTTTATTATATTTTAAAAATCCAACAGTTAATCACTTAAAATCAATTATTATTGATCGACGTGATAAATGTTTTCATTGGCCTTACCGTTATCATTCAATGATGCCAGTTGATTATATTGTTGATTTTAGTCGAAAAATTGTTCATTATTTTTTCTATTTAATTTGGTTATTAAGTAAGTCTAAATTCCAAACTATTCATTAATTCATAATTATTTTTATCAATTTTTGAATAGCTTTTTTCTATTTACTAACTGAACTTCATACAATAAAATTTATCATTGAATATCATGATGAAATTTTCGGAAATAACTACTTTGTCGGCTTTTTACGATTGATTCTGTTACTTATCAATTGGAAATTGGTTGAAGTTACTATTATTAGTTCTTCATTATTATGTATCATTGCGCTTTTGATTTTTCAATTATTTTTCATAATTTGTCATTTACATTTTTGGCAAACTGAACAAATATTATTGAAATCACAAAATTTTAGTAATGGGAATATACGACGACTAAAATCACTAGTTATCATTCGAAATCTTATACGATTTCAACATAATCATACAAAAAATTTAATGCTTATTAATGATGCAAATAAAGTCTATGGCCGTATGTTCTTTATAACTATGATTACACAGATTAGTTTCAATTGTTATCTGGTTATATTTATTATTTTAAGACATACAACAGTCTTATATACTATAGTGATTATCATGGCAATTATTTCTCAACTATTTTACATATTTGGTGTACATTATCAGTTTGTCATTATAAATCGTCGATTTCATAAATCTTCACCTATTCTAATGAGTCGTATGGCAACTACTAAATTTTTTGACAAATATTTACCAACAAAATTAAAACTATCTAATTATGCTCAATCAATGTATACGAATAATTGTTATGGAATTACTTATTGGCGTTGTGAAATAATTAATATGCAAGAATTCGTTAAGGTAAACCATTGATTTTAACATATTTAATAAATATAATTATTTTTTTCTTTTTAAATTTTCATTCAAATTTGAATTAGTATCTTATACTTTATTCACAGTTGATTATGTTTATCAAAATTCGTGGAGTTATCGAATCGGAAAAATGATATTCATCAAAGTCAACAAAAATCAATCGACAAATGAACAAAATAATGTATAAAGTGAACGAATATTATTCACAAAAATCGATAAAAATTCTTCTTTGCACCACAAAAAAAAACAGCAAAACATTTTTTCTTCGAAAATGAAAAAAAAATTCCAAAAATTTGTTATTCGAAAATACTGTCACATTATTTTCAATTTCAAGTAAAATTTTCAGTTTAATAAAATTGATTATTAATAAAAATTTTTCATAATAACAAAATGATTATTTTACCAAGTTCAAAAGTTGACAAAATTGATCGAATAAGACTTTCACAAATATTAAGAAGAATGGAGAGATAACAATAGAACCCCATTTGCCTTATTATAAATTTTTTTTAAATTTTCTTTCTTTTTTTTTGGGGATTTGAATTCCATGAATTTCTATATGTTATTTTTGTTTTTCATAATAAAATGGTTAATTATTGGATTTTTTGTTTTTATGGAAACATATCCGGACAAAAAGTAGAATGAATTTTAATAGTTTCATTTGAAAGAAAATAACTTCATCATGAATAACGAATATATAAACGAACAAAAAAAAGATATTTTTTATTATTTATCATTAAATATAATGAATTTATCAAAATATTTTAATTATGTTTATACGGGTTTTAAATATGTTGTTCGTATCTATTTTTTATTATTGATGAATCGTTGGTTTGAATTTTATCGATCATATTTTGAAATGTGTACAATAATTCGTAAACGAAAATCCAATCCGGAACAATTTCGTCGATATGTATGGGCACCTATTTCAGCATTGATTGTGATTACAATTTTAGTTATAATAAAATTGTTTCATAATTGTTATTGGAATGATCGAAATGATATAATTTGGGTGAAAATTTATGCCGATATAATAGCCGATGCAAATCTTCATTCAAATGCAAATTGGTTTTTAATAATTTTAATCGTTGTTTGTGATTGGATGATTTTGCTTTTATATTTTCGAAATTCAACCGCTGAACATATACAATCAATAATTATTGATCATCGCAATGAATCTTTTCAATGGCCATTCAAATATCGTTCAATGATGGCAATCGATTATGTTACTGATCATGGTAGAAAAACATTTAGTATTATATTTCGCTTTTTTTTGCTGCTCAGTAAGTTTTTTATTAATTCAAATAGTTAATGAACGAACAAATATTCATTTGAAAATTCAATAATTATTATCAAATATAGGTATATGCGTTGTTATTGTTGATATTCGAACACTAGAATTTCTCTACTTGAATATTGATAAAATATATGATTATAATAATCAATTTATTGGTTTTATCCGATTGATGCTGACATTTATTAATTGGAAATTAATAGAATCCCTCATTTTTGTCTGTGCATTATCTGCTGCTATTTCAGTTTCAATTAGCCAAGTATTTATTGCCATTGGTCATGTACATTTTTGGCAAACTGAACAATTATTACATTTTAACGATATTATCAGAGATAGACATAATAATAAATGGCAAAAATTGATTTTAATCATTCGAAAACTAAATCAATTTGAATATTATCAAACAAGAAATCTGTTGTTTATTTGTAAAGCAAATCAAATCTATGGAAATATTTTCTCATTATCTTTGTTATCACAGATTGGTTTCAATTGTTATCTAATATTATTTATCATTTCATATCATACAACATTATTCTATTTAACATTAATAACAATATTATGTTTAATACAGATGCTCAATATATTCGTAATACATTTTCAAATTGCCTTAATTAATCGTAAATTTTATCAGTCGGCACCAATCATGATGAGTCGTATGGCAACAACCGAATTTCATGGTAAATTTTTACAAACAAAATTAAAATTATCAAATTTTGCTCAAAAAATGCATACGAATAATCGATATGGAATTACATATTGGAGTCAACAGATAGTTAATACTAATGAATTTGCAAAGGTAAATTTTTGAAAAATGCGAATATGAATGTTTTATTTTTTGTTAAAAATTCATTTTCATTTCATTAAAATAGTTTCTTTTAATTTATTCACAATTGATCATGTTTATACAAACCAATATAATCATGAAAACGTAAAAATAATGAACAAAAAAAAAGTAATGAACATTTGATATTCACTCATTATTTCAATTGTACATTATGAATTCATATACGTAACGAATTTTCTTACGAAGTTTAATACAAAATTTTTTCAAGTGCAAATGTACTGTATGTGAATGATGTCATTATAATGTTTATGATGAAGATTCATAATGTCATTTATCCTAAGAATCATTATTGTAAATGATTCTATGACATCTTCAACCAAAAAAAACCAAAAATATCATTATTGAAAAGAATCATTTTAGTATTATTTCATTGATTCGTAGTAATCATTAGTTCATAGATATGTACAATTTACGATGATTCGATCATTACCGACAATCATTATTTTATGGGTTGTTAATCATCATTATTTTCAAATACGTCATCATTAAAGATTTAAATAAAAAGTTGATAAACTATAAAATCTGGTTTAAAAAAAAGAATTTGGATGAAAATTGCATTGATTTTAGTCAAGAACATGATGTTCGGATCCAACGAACGAAGAAGAAAAAGCAAACTGGTTGCAATTGAATAGATGAATTTTTTTTCAGCTGATCAATATTGACTACTTGAAAATGGAAAACAATACAATCAAATGAAAACAAATTCATCATTAAAGATTTAAAAATGAACAATCGAAAAAATCGTTGATGATGATGATTGCCGAATCAATTGTAAATTAATCACAAGAACCGAATTTTCAAGTCGTTTTTTTTCTCGTAAACAAAAGTGAATTGTGATTAGTATATTTTAATGATCAACTAGGGAAAGAAAAACTGATGATGATTATCATCACGAATCGATGGTCATTACCAAAAAAAAAGAAAGAAAGAAAGAAAAAGTTTTATTATGTTTTTCTATGAAAACAATTGATTAATTGATGGATGCTTGTTGTATAACGACAACAACAGCAGCGGGGGTGGCGATGGTCAATCATAAAATGATATCATGGTTGTCATAAAAGATTTACGAATCCATTAATTCAATTCGAATTTCAATTTATTGAATCATTGAAATTGTCAATGAAGAAGGATGTTGTGAAGAATAGTGAAATTTTAAATTTTTTACATCTACCTAGATCTTCAGAATGAAAATCAATTTATTTTCAGAATACAAAACAAAACAAAAAAGAAAAACAACGACGCTTCACAACAATATTATCATTATCGATGAAATCCAATAAATATTTTCTTTGACAACAAACTTTGCCAACAATTTCGTATAAATATCAGAGGTGTCTTTTGCTTATTTCTAACCATTTGAACATTCATCAATTTTTTTTTGAAAAAAAGGACAATAACAATAAAAATGAAAACTTTAAATTTTTTATTTGTAATCGGATGTTGTTTTGCATTCGTTTCCATAATCGATGCTGCACGTTCATCAAAACGATCTAAACGTGATCAATGTGGCAAAAATGAATTGAATCAAATGGATAAATTATTGGCAAGTGTTTTACCATTTGATGATCCAAAGGTAAAACCACCTGAAACGATTGAAGATATTCCACAATTTTGTCTGTAAGTAAATTTTTCTTTATAAATTAAGTTTGATCTGATAGAAATTTAAACAAACATACAACAGTCATTATGGCGATGTTTTGACCAAAATCGAATCATTGAATAAACGATGTATGAAAGAAACACAACGTAATGTTATCGCTGTAATGATTTATAATATTAAACAATCAACACGTGGCATATGTTCGAAAAAAGCAATTCAATCGAAAAAATTAACACCAGCTAAAAAGAATTTTCTACAATTAAATCGTTGCATAAATGGTGGTTCTAAACAACTGAAACAATGTTCGGATACAATGGCCGGTTATCTAACAGCAATTGAAAAAGTTCCCAAAACACAACGTATTCCAATGTTATGCTGGTAAGAGAATTTAGTTATTTGATTTTTTTTATTGGAACTTCGATGAGTAATTTGATGATTTTTTCCATAAAATTATAGCGAAATGATCAAAGGACGTGATTGTTTTCATAATGCACTTCGATCAGGACCGAATTGCAATACACCCGAATTTGACAAAACATTAGGCGAAATTGTAAAATCTGTTGGTGGTGGTGGTGAAAGTCAATTACGTTCGATTTGTGGTGATTTTACAACCAAAGCTAAATGTTCAAAAGTAAAACTTCCTAAACGACAAGCACCAAAAGATCAAAAATCATTCATACAAACGGCCTTACATTTATTGGGAGATTTGTAAACTTAGAATGAACAAAAGGTTTTTTTTAACAATTCAAGAATTTTTATTGATTGATTAAAAAATGGAATATTTTTTTTATTGAAAAAATAAAATTGATAATTAGTATAACAAAAATAATTAATTAAACATGAATAATTATTAGTAGAAACAAATAAAGAAAAAAACAAACAAACAGAAAATAATCACAAATTACATTATTGATGTTGTATTCGAATGAAATAACTAAAATCTTTTTCATCATACCAGAATCCGTATATCCAGAAAATTAAATATGTCATTGTTGTTGAAAATAAAAAGATTGATATGAAAAGAAAAAACCATGGCCATCGTAAGGGTCGAAATCGTTGTGAAATCGATTCTTGACGATTCGTATTATTAGTAGTATTATTTAATGTTGACGATCGTAATGTTTTGCCAGCAAAATACATTAATAACATTGATGGATAAAGTAATAAAATGATGAGTGTTGTTAATCCTAATAACCATATTTGAATTTGTAAAAATCGTTGCAAATATTCCAAAGCTAAACTAATGATTAATGCTAAACAATTCCAGATAATATATGGTGTCCAAAAATTAAAACGTGTTACAAACACTGATTTCTGTAAATATTGTTGTCCATATCGTAACCAATCTAGTGCCAATTTTCCACGAAATAACATTAATAAATATAGAATTGTTGCATTCAGCAAAAAAACAATCGATGCAACCATTACATATATTGATTTTTCTTTCAAATAATTAGGAATAAAATTCAATTCAATCACAGTGGAGTTGATTATTTTCGTATCAATTGGATGGAAATAGAAAATATTCATAAAAACTTGAAACAAAAGAATAAAAAATGCGATCATTATGAACCAATTACGAATCGATGAATATGAACGAAAAAAGAAAGATGATACTGAAGATCGTTTCATTGATTGCATTGATGCTAGATATAAAAGTGGATCACCGGATTCTTCAGTAATTATCGGTGATGAACGTGAAACGGATGCATCAGGATATCGTATACTTTGATAATTGGAATTCATCATTTGTTGCTGATCGCTAATCAATAGATGTCGTTGCTCACTATTATTATCATTTTGACCAAATACTTCACCATTATCGAATATTTGTAAACGTCGACGATAATATTGATAATCATAACGTGAATACATTAACATGATTAATATTTCATTTAGATGAAAAGGCATCAGAAGTATTGGTATGGCGCCAAATAATGATGCATACCAATCGTTCATACATAGATCGAAAGGTGGAAAAGGATTAGGAATATGTCCGATAGATGATTGATTGGCGATTGACTTGTTTAGCTGAATTTTCTTGTTCATTTGAAGATTTTGTCGCAGGTAAATATGAATACCTACAAATGGCAAAATTATTAAGGTTATGAAACTAATCAAAATGGCCAAAATTTTCAAGATCTGAAGTAAATAAAGACGAGTAAATTGTATTGTTTGCCAATCTTGCTGTCTCCGAGACCAAATAAAAGATGTTGTAGCCAATGCGACAATGATTGAGACCATTAATGTAAGCCAAATTGAACCAAGTACTAGATGATCAAGATACCATTTACGATCACTATTAATGCCAAGATAATTGATCCAATCAGATGATAATATCGATTCTGATGATAAAATAATCATATCGAAATAATCATAAATTAGATGAATATACATTGAACATATACAAAATTGATGGATCAACATTATTAATGAAAAAATCCGAGCCATTGTTGAACCAAGAGTTTCGAAAATGATCATTTCCGATGTTATTATAGTTGTTGTCGATTCTGAATCAGATATTGTTTCGTTTGTAGATACAGCTGTTGACGAGAATGATTGAGCAAAATTACTGGTAGCCGAACGAGAGATTTGTTTAAGATTTCGAAGATGAACACGTCGACGTAATCGATGTATGACACGAGATGCAGAATACAAAAGAATTAGACTTCCAATTAGGGCTAATAGTGACATTGTAAATTGAACGGTAGTTAAAGCGAAAAAATCAAACGTAACCATTTGTGAATGTGATGTATTTGCATGGACAAAATTAGGTGTTATCACTAATGATGAATAAATTGATGGGGCAAAAGTTGAACCGAAATTATAGACTATCAAACTTAGAATGAGTATCGTTTGTGACAGATACCAAAATGTTTGACAGCAATGAAGTCGAAATTTTGAATAACATCCGTCGGATATTCCAACCATTCGACTTCTTGGTTGATTATGATCATTTTGAGCATCATCATCACCATTTGAGTATGATGAAAGTGATGATATATCAGATGCAACTAGATTTGGATTGAATGGTGATTGTTGATAATGAATAAGTAATAATTCTGGCGGAACAACAGGTGACGGTATCACAGTAACGGATTGTTGTGGTGCCAAATTATTATTTGTTGCTGTCGATGTTGTTATTGTTGATGATACTGAAGTGGTATCAACAATACTACCTGGAACAGGTCCTTGAGATCTATTTATAAATCGTTCGGTAAAATTTTCCAATAATGGTGTATATTCCGAACTGACAGGATTATTATCCGATTCTGGTGGTGCTGATGGTTCAGGACGATCCGTTGAGGGATTATAGAATTGTCGCTGACCATCGTATGGAATATTTGCTGAACTATAAGTATTGAACAATCTGGATTTATTGCCCGGAATATTGTCATGTTTTGATCGTTTTTGGTCCGATCGACGCATTTTGTTTAAATAGAATGAAATTTTGTTTTCTGTTTCCTTTTCTGATAAACGTATCAACAGTTTAAAAAAACAAACGATGCTTGTGGAAAATTTTCAATACGTGAATGTTTGCATACGGTAAGTCACATCTTTGGCTTCTTGTCAAATGTTTTACACATCGAGCAAATCAATAAACATGGTACAATCAAAAATGATTTATCAGCCATTATCGCTGGTACATAGACTTGTTGTTGATTATGACGCAGATAAATAATATATAACAAAAAATTGATTGTTGTTACAATAAATGGTGATGATTAGAGTAGAGAAAAAAGGGAGTAAATAGAAGTGGAAAAAAATCCCAAAACAAAAAGAATGTTTCGAAAAATTAAACCAAATGATCCGAAGATAAGATATTAGCTGTAATGAAACAAATTTTAAATGAGATGTTATAGAACCAAAGAACAAATGTAAGATTGAGAATCGGAACTTACAAAGATAAACAAATTTTCTATTTTGTTTTTTGTTTTTTTTTTTTGGAAAAGATTTCAAATAAAAAACACACAAATTTTCCGACAAATATTTGCAAAAGATAAAGATAACATTATTATGGACATAATTATTTAGTATGAATAAGTATTAAATACGTATTGATTATTGATTTTGTTTCAAAAACAAAAACAAAAAATTGAAAGAAAATCCTTAATTTAATTGGAACGCAATTTATTTTTATTTTTTTTTTAATCAAATCCAAAGCAACAAGAACGTCAACCTGTTGCTATATAAAGATTTTCGATCATATTCATAAATGACATGACACAAATAACGGATTGTTTAGAATCATTGAAAAAATCATTATCCATTAATTTATTAATTTATATTGTCTTTTTTTAAATTTTTTGTAGAAATGGTTGCGATCATTGTTCATGGTGGTGCTGCAAAAGTTGCCGCGAATGTTGTCGAATCTAAATTAATCGATCTTCGACGTTCAGCTAAAATTGGTTTTCTGGAATTAATACGAAAACAATCTCAACCTAATGCGGCTTTGGATGCTGTGGAAAAAGCTGTTAGATCAATGGAAGATAGTCCATATTTTAATGCCGGTTATGGATCATCATTAACCAATTCTGGTCATGTTGAAATGGATGCAATCATTGCGGATGGACGTGATCTAAATTTTGGTGCTGTTGCTTCTATAACCGATTACTCAAATCCAGTTTCATTAGCGAAAAAAATTATGGAACATTCTGAACATTGTTTATTCGATCGTAATGGTGCACATGAATTTGCAAGACAACATGGTTTTGTGCCAATTTCCAATTCTCAGCAATTGGTCAATGATCTGGCTAAACAAAGACTTGAAGAATACAAAACATTCCGTAATGCAATCGAAGTGGATAAAATAAAAATCACCGATACAGAAAAGCCTGATGACCATGATACGGTCGGTTCGGTTGCTGTTGATTGGTTTGGGAATTTCGCTGCAGCCACATCCACCGGTGGTATAACCGGGAAACTTCCCGGACGTATTGGTGATTCTCCTGTGATAGGATCCGGTGCATATGCTGATAACGAAATTGGAGCAGTTTCGACCACTGGTCATGGTGAAGCAATCATGAAAGTTTGCTTAGCACGTGATGTTCTTTATCGATATGAAAAACTGATAAATCAAACAAATGAAACAAAAATGAATCCGATGCAACGAGCCATTATAGAATCATTGAAATCAATGCAACAACGTGTCGATGGTTATGGTGGCGTGATTGCCATCGGTAATGGTCATGGTGATATTGGTTTCGGATTCAACACGCAAGCAATGCCATGGGCATATATTACAGTTGATGATAATGATATAGATCAAATATTATCTGTTATTGACAAAAAAGTTTCCGATGACAATATATCAAAAATTCCAGTACGAATTCATTATGGGTATCATCCGAATGAACATTTAGAAATTATTGAATGATTTGATATAATTTTTTTTTATTTTTCAAAATATTATGCAATTTAAATATAGAACTTTTTAATGATCAATTTTTGAATAATTTACTCGAAAGTACTGTGAAACGTACATAGAATATCATTAGCTAGAATAAAAAATGTGAAATTTTTCAATAAATCAATAAATAAAATCAATAATAATGATTACATACCTTAAAAAATACTAATCTAGTCAATACAGTAATAGGACCAATACGTAAACCCAGGGCCGGTCCGAGGAAACGCGGGGCCCTGTGCAAATTTTACATGCGAGGCCTTTTTTTAAGTAATGATGAGGGGCCTAAAAAAATTCAAATTTGAAATGTAACATGAAGAGAATCTTCATTTAACAATGCCAAATTTCAAATCTGAAATGGAAAATATCTNCACGCAAGCAATGCCATGGGCATATATTACAGTTGATGATAATGATATAGATCAAATAATGGCTGTTATTGACCATATATCAAAAATTCCAGTACGAATTCATTATGGGTATCATCCGAATGAACATTTAGAAATTATTGAATGATTTCATATAATTTTTTTTTCAAAATATTTCAAATATAGGACTTTTTAATGATCAATTTTTGAATAATTTACTTGAAAGTACTATGAAACGTACATAGAATATCATTAGCTAGAATAAAAAATAAAAAAAATGTCAAATTTTTCAATAAATCAATAAATAAAATCAATACTAATGGATACATACCTTTAAAAATACTAATCTAGTCAATACAGTAATAGGACCAATACGTAAACCCCATTGTTTTCGACTAACAATTCTTTCATAATAATTAGTCATATGAAATTTGAAATAAATATCATCGGTTTTCATTGCTAAACATGTCGTACGTTGTAGATTCAATCGTATAGAATTAAGATATAAATTAAATTTTGACATAACATAGGTCAAAAATATGATAATACTTAATTCAACAATTAATGCATAAAATAATAGAATTAATAGAAAATATTCATCATTTTCAATACGTTTCAAACAATTGATAACAATTTGACTACCAATAATATTGACAAAAATACCCCAAACAGTCATTTGTGCAACGTATGGTTGTACTTGTTCAACAAACACAATTAATCGTATGTAAATCTTGTACAATCTTTTTAATTTCATTTTCATTAAATCCAAATGAATCGGTTCATTTTTTCTATTATTCAATATGGTTTCGATTGAATCAAGAATTTTATCAATTTCAAATTTAACATTTTTAACGACTTTGGCTTCAATTCGTATTGAAAATGTTGTTACCATTGCTAATGTATACATTGTTGAAATCATAAAATTCATTACAACCATAAAGAATTGTAATGACATTGAACGTATTATTATCTGCCATATTGGTCGTGTATGAATAAATTTATCCAATTTGAACAATTGAAAACAAATGTTCAATAAAACTGTACGAATGATGTATTAAATTTTAAAGTAAAAAAAATTGAAATTATATAAAAATTTTCATTTTAAATCTTACCGTTACTGATACAAACAATGTGATGTACATGATCGAAAAATTTTTTAAATTCCAAATAATTTGGTTGTGTATTTTTCTGTGTATAATTCAATAATAAACAAGTTGTTCGTGAATAATATTGATATTTATGTCCAATTGTTTCCAACATACGATCACTATATTCTGTACAGAATTCACGAACATATATGATAAATGTACGCATAGCTAATGAAGAATGTGTTCGAAATGAATCATATGTGTATAGATATAATGCAGTAAAATAATATGTTATTAATAATAATGTAATATGTTTGATTTGTTCACCATTATTATCATCAATTAATACAGATGGATCATTGGTTATAAAACGAAATGAATCAGAATATTTGATCCAACCAGTACATAATGTTAAATAATAAATATTCATAAATGTCCATATCATATAACGAAATTTATCATTTTGTGGTAGACATCGAAATAATGATTTATTTGATGTATCCAATAATAATAGATATGAATAATAATCATATATTGATTTAAATCGATAAGATGTATAAGAACTAAAATAAATTTTCGATACATATGAATAGATATCATCGAAACAATTATTCAATGAAAATTTTATCATTTTTACAATAAAAACAATATCTTTTGTTTGGTTTCTACACTTTATTCCTTAACGTACGCACACTATACCCGAATGTTTATGCAATAAAGTTTTTTCCAGATAAAGACGATTGAAGAAGAATTCTATAAATGCATACAATTTCATGAATGTAGCAAAAAAAAAAAAAAAATTCTAACGACATTATAATTTTTTTTCGATTTTTCGAGTATCATAATTGCTATTTAGCTTTTGATGGTTTTTCTATAGGTATAACTTTCTTCTATTCAAAATTAATGAATTTTTTTTTGTTTCAATGGCAAAAAAACTTATTCATTTTTAACTTTCAATAATATTGATTCCAATTCCGAAATTTTTTTCTTCTTCAAAACTAAAAAATTTTGCTGAGGAAGTTTATTGATCGTATATTAATCAATTTAGATCGACCAAATGTGGATTGCTTTTTTTCCCGACTAAAGAGTTTGTCTTAATGATTTCTCAATCAAAAAAAAAAAAAAAGAAAAGTAAAAAAATCAACAACGACAAAAAATTATAAATGAAATTTTGGAAATGGTACGAAATTTTTTTTTGTGGCCAACAAAATTTTTTATATTTCATCATAATTAAATGAGATTAAAATACGTTGTACATTTTTCACGTTTTCCAAAAAGAAATAACTTAAATTTAATTATCGATTTTTTTGTTTGTTTGCCTTGAAATTCCGACAATTCTATATTGTTATCAGATTTTTTTAATTGATTTTTTAAATTCAATAAATTTTTTTCTTCCATTTAAATACACGTTTTTTTATTTAGAATTTTAATCAATATTTTATTGTAATTTTAAAGTTGTATTACGTTTTTTCCTATTTTCTTGAATTATATTTGAATTTGTAATTATTTGGATTTTCATCATCAGGAAATCTTCATTGATAATTTTCAAGTGTGTGCTTAAAAATAACAACAACAACAAGGAATATAAATTATTAATATATTGAACAATCAATGATAATTATGAGAAAAAAATCATCATCAATTTTATTCGAAGCCATTTTATTGTTTTATTTTTTCACTTCAATATTTTTACTGATTGATTCAGGACCTGTAAATATAAATTTGGATGATGATGATTCATATGATTATTATGGATCGGATAACGTCAAAGATTGTAATAAATTATTAATTATTATCAATAATTATTAAATCTAATTTTTATATTTTGTATTACAACAATAGTAGGAACAAAAACAGATAAAACTCATGCAAATATTGAACAAGCAGCGCCAAAGCCATTTGGACGAAAAATAACAGTTGATAAATCAAAAATTCGCGATATGACGTCCAAACTGAATCAAACGATTAGCGATGATGATGATGATTTAAATCTAGATAAATCTCAACCTCAAATTGGACTATCAAGTCTGCAAAAAGCATCGAAAACTAGTTCGGAATCAAATGAAGACGATGAATCTAGCGAAAGTAATTCAGATGAGTCAAACGACGCATTTAAGGTTCAGAATTCAGTACCTGTTAATGTAGAAAAAACCAAGGTAAAGATCAACAAAAAATCTGGTAAGGGTGGCAAATCATCGGAATCAAAAGAATTTAGTAGTAGTGAGTCAGATGAATCGGACGAAACTGAATCAGGTGGTTCACAACCGGGATCGAATCCTTATTTATTAAGTCAGTCAGATAAATCAGATTTAACTAATAGAACAAGACTAACGAGATCAGTAGGATCTGGTGATGATTCAGACGAATCCGATGAAGACGACGAAGCTACTGGAAAATCGAGCTCAAATGTCTCTGGATCCGATGAAGACGACGAAGCTACTGGAAAATCGAGTTCAAATGTCTCTGGATCAGGTAAAACTAAATCAGATGGTGGTGGTTCACAACCGGGATCGAATCCTTATTTATTAAGTCAGTCAGATAAATCGGGCGAAGCTAATAGAACGAAACAACCGAGATCAGTAGGATCTGGTGATGATTCGGACGAATCTGATGAAGACGACGAAGCTACTGGAAAATCGAGTTCAATTGTATCTGAATCAGGGGCCAAACAACAAGTATCTAAAGAATCTATCAGTAGTGAGTCAGAAGAATCAAGTAGCAATGAGTCAGATGAATCAGACGAAACTAAATCAGGTGGCAAAGTAGAAAAAAACAAAGTGAAGATCAACAAAAAAACTGGTGATGGTGATAAAGGTCCTGGCAAATCATCTGAATCAAAAGAATCTAGCAGTAGTAGTGAGTCGGATGAATCGGACGAAACTGAATCCGGTGGTGGTGGTTCACAACCGGGATCAAATCCTTATTTATTAAGTCAGTCAGATAAATCAGATTTAACTAATGGAACGAGACAACGGAAATCAGTAGGATCAGGTGATGATTCGGACGAATCCGATGAAGACGACGAAGCTACTGGAAAATTGAGTTCAATTGTATCTGAATCAGGCGAAACTAAATCGGGTGGTGGTGCCAAACAACAAGAATCAAAAGAATCTAGCAGTAGTGAGTCCGAAGAATCCAGCAAAACTAAATCAGGTGGTGGTGGTTATCAACCGGGGTCAAAACCTTATTCAACGAGTGATTCTGATGAATCCGAAGAAGATGATTATGGTACTGGGAAAAAATCAGGCGGCGGTGGAGAACAACAGGAATCGAAAGGACCTATTAGCAGTGGATTAGAAAAATCGGGTGAAGCTAAACCGGCTGGTGGTGGAGAACAACAAGAATCGGAAGAATCTAGTAGCAGTGAGTCAGAGGAATCGGGCGAAAGTAAATCAGGTGGTGGTGGTTATCAACCTGGATCAAATCCTGCTTTAACGAGTGATTCGGAGGAATCCGATGAAGATTATGATGATACTGGAAAAAAACAGGATGATCAAAAGTCTAAAAGGCAAATATCTAGCGGTGTTGTTTATAGTAGTTCTGGAGAAACATCTAAAAAAAATCAGTCAGAGGAAAGCGAAGAATCTTCAGAAAAACTATCAGGCGGTTTTAAACAAAAGAAACAATTAAAAAAAATACCTTTAATAAGTTTATATGATTTAATATTAAGGACAAAGGAAATTATGAAGGAAAAACTTCATCGCAACCGGACGAAAGGAGAAAAGAAAGGAGAAAAACATGAAGATAAATTACCAAAAATTAATTTTCATTTACCAGGAAGAATTGGTTTTGGTAATAAAGAAAAAAAATCATCTAAAGATGAAGATAAAGATAAAGATAAAGATCATAAATTTAAAGGTCTTGATTCTATCAGTGATGTTTTAAAGAAAAGATTGCCAAATCCAGCTTCTATAGTGAAAAGAATGAGTGACGAATTTAAGTCAAATTCAACCAACGAAACAAAAAGTAAAGAAACTAAACCATCTAAACATAAAGATAATAAAGGTACTGAAGCTAAATCAAAAGACACAACACCGGATAAAAGTCATGAAAGTAGTTCGAAAGAAAAAGGCGATGAAGAAACGAGCAAAAAAATATCTAAAAAAGATAAAGCGGAGCCTACGCCACCCGAGAAAGATATAGTTAATGTTGATCAGAAAAAAAGTCAAGAAAAAGAAAATGTAAAAGAATCATCGAAACGTGGAGATGGAAAAGAAAGTGTTTCTGACAAAGCTAAGGATATTGTGGATGAAAGCATCGAAAAAATTAGATCAAATGAAGATTTTCTTATTCCAATGGCCATTATAACTACAGCGGTATTGGTCGTCGCTATCGGTGTCTATTCAACTCTTCAGAATCAAAAAATGAATTGATTAATATACACAGACACATTGATTGATAGAATGATTTTTTCGCTTTCTTTTGATGATAAAAATGAACAACAATTTTGAAAAGAAATTTTAAGAATATTTTACCATTTTCATCGAAAGATGGCGTTAATTTGTACATATTTTTGAATTAAAAAAAATTTTTTTTCGCAAAAAAAAAATTTTGAATCCGTGAATTATTTTATTAGAAAAATAATGGAAAGAAAAAATATCATTCCTGTCATCAACAATTTAATGTTTTTGTTTTTAATGACAATTTAGTTAGAAAATATTTCAATATTGATTGAACGAGAATATTTTTCATGTTGCTTAATTAGACAACTTTTTGTCTTTGATTTTTTTTTATTGTTACTTTTATCACCAAATTCCATATGATAATGATGATGATGATAATAAATTGAAGAAAATTCTATCAAATCCGACAAGTTTTGGTTTTTGTGTTTGTCTGGCCGTTGATTATTGTCATCAGTATAATATTGAAGAATGAATAAAGAATGAAAATGTTAAATGTTAAGTAACTTTGATAGAAAACGATAAAGATAAAATGTTAATACAGGAAAAAACTCTAATTACTTGACAACAATAATAATGTGAAAAAAACACAGAAAGAATATCAATATGAAATCTTTTTAAATCTCATAATAATACTCTGACAATGAAAAAAAACAAGACAAAAATTCTGAAAAGAAAATGATGCCTTGGAATTGATTGTATTGAAAATCCTGAATGGGAAAAACATTCTATTTTTTTTGAAAATTGCACCGATTGATAATTATTCAATGGACAGAATTTTTTTCGATTTCTTTTTCGTTAATACTATTGTTGTTGTTTTTTTTGCTCTGATAATGGTTTTATTTAATTTTCAAACGTTTTCATTTTGGGTTGGTAATTTGTTTATTTTTTTCTTCGTTGTTTTGAAACTATGCTCATAATTTGAATCCTGACATTAATTATGTTTTTATTTGACGAAAATGAATAAAACAACGACAACAATGATTCAGAATGACAATATTCTACCAAAATGATTTTATGTAAACATCAACAAAAGAATGTTAATTATCATTTTTTTTTCTATGAATAAAAAAAATGGATGAATGAATGAATTAATTCAGGCTAAGCAATTTTTTTTTGTTGAGAATTTTATCGTATTTCAACCAGTCAGATGAGAAAAAATCTTGTCTGTTTATTTATTTGCATTTGGTGTTTATTTGTTGAACAACTTCAAATCTTTCCAAAGAAAAGCAGCAGTAGAACAAAAATGATTTTTTTACCATTTGTGTTGTTTATTTTCCGATTTATAAATTCTGTTTGACGTCAATTCTGTATGGGTAGGAAAAAAACTGTTGGTACTTTTCAATGATGATGTTGATGATAATTATTGTTATTATTATCATCATCATCATCATCATCATTATGATTAACAGGAAGAATTTATTAATTTTTCTTTCAGATTATTCTAGTGAAAAACCACCAGATTTTTTTTAAAAATTTTCAAAACTTATAATTATTTAATCGCTAGAACCATCGATTGCTTGTCAAAATTCTCTGAAAATTCTGTCTCCTATTTATACAACACCATTTACATGCATGGATATGATGATGATTGTCACATCAGGAACTGTATTCATTCATTCACCTTGGTAACATTGTTGTTTCAGTTGTTTATTTTGATTTTATTTTTTTGTTATTTTTGGAAAATACTTTTTTTTTTTGATCAGCATAAAAAATTTGTCACATTAAAACAATATAATAAATCATAAAATATTTTCGGAAAGCAAGTGGAGAAAAAAAATTATTCGCGTAGAAAAATAAACAAACAAACCTTTTTGATTTTGATATATGATTTTGTTTATCTATTTTTTTTGAAAAAAAAGATACGATCAACATAAATAGAATTTATAAATTTTTAATTAAAATTATAATAATTAATTGTTTTTTTCCTAATTTTCACTTTTGAATGAATGTAATTTTCATTTTTGGTACATGATGAATACACCTACGTGCACACACCTATTATTATTCCAAACATTTGTTGAATCATTTCATTTATAAAAACCATAGCAATAGATGATTTGTTGAATAGACATTTACAATATTTTAAACATTTTAGTCAGAAATTAATATTTGTCATTAGTAAATATTTTTATTGTTTTTTCCTCCCCCATCGAAACATTTTCATTAATGAATTTGAAAAAAAATTCTTTCGTTTACTTTTAGTTAATGTCGATGAGCTTCTTTGTATTTGATCAACTGATCCTAACAAACAGACAAAAAAAAGTTTCTCTGTTATTTATCATTGTTATTTATTTGGTAATTGAAAATACAAAGACAAAAATAAAAAGATCATTAGTTGATTATATCAACGGAAACAAGTTCTTTTTTTCTGTTTGATTGTGTGTATTCATTCTCTTATTCCACCGTATTGATATTTGAATAACCATTTATAATCATTTCAGCAAACACAGAAAAAAAGTGACCATCATCATTATCATCATCATCATCATCAAATCAACAACAACATCATGGTAAAGTTTTTATTTCGAAAAAGAAAAACCTAACTTGAAACAATGTTTATCATTAACATAGATATGAAATAACTTTAACTTTAGTTTATTTTAAATAAATAAATGCTATATTTTTCTTTCAATTCAATGATTCTATCTATTTATTCATTCAAGGATGTTGTTATATTCAAATATTGACTTTTGTATTATTTGATAATCAATAATTTCTAGTTGGAATTTCAATGTTGTTGCTGTTTTTGTACAATTTTATTTTATTATTGTTGTTTTGTTTCATCATAAGAATCGAAAAAACACACGCACACAGAATCGCTGATATACTAATATATAATTGATCATTATGGCATAGCACAGTGTGAACAATTCTTCATTCTGGTTCATATCATCAATGTTTAATGATTTTGTGAATTTTTTTTTGCGTTTTCCAAGTGTATGGTTTTCGTTATGGATAAAAGAATCATTGATTGATTAATTAAATGAATGAATGCTTGAAAAAAATTTCAAATGTAATGAATATCATTTTTGCTGTTGTTTTTGGCGTCGATGATGTTATTGTAATTTGTATACGGTTAGTTAAATAATGCATTAGGAATGCTTTATTACAACCACGAATTTCATAATGATCTACCTTGACCTCTTCATTCGATTATGATTTGTTTTATTTTTGATGTATGAAACAAAAAAAATTTCAAAATTTCAAAGAAATTTAATCATCGAAATTGTTTTAGAATAAATAAAATAAACAGAATCGAAAATAGACGTGATACCTGAATTTGATTAATGTTTATACACACAAATAGCCAAATACATTTATATCCACTCTACAAAGGAAAATAAATCTGCTTTCAATATTATTGTTTGTTTATTATTTGGGTAGAAGAAAAATGACCAATAATCGAATGGTAGGATAAAAAAAAATACCGTAATAAAAGAAAATTATGATGAGAAGAAGAGAAAAACCATTTTTATCATTCCAGTAACAATAATCAAATAAACGAGATGATTATATCCACGTAAGGGCAATTTTTGTAAATTATTATTATTATTTTGATAATCATAATGGATTTCGATTTCTTTATGATGTTATCCAAAAAAATGGAAAGAATTTTTCTTAATCATCATTTTTTTGTGATTATTATCTTATAATTCAAAAAAAAAATACTATAAAATAATTACCGACCATAGCGTTTCACACAAAAAAAAACCATTAAATCTATAGATTTATTAATTAATGATCATCATTAGCGATATCAATATGGTTTTATTATCGAGAATTTAAAGTGATGAAAAAAAAACTAACGTTTGAGTCGTCGTCGTTATTATGTTACAATGACGCCACTCCTTTTCCTCATATCTCTATTTTTCTCTTTCATCTCTCACTTGATTCTTATGAATTGAATTTTGATTTTTTGTTTTTTTTTTTTTGAATTACACAGATGAAATAAATTTTCATGAGAATACATTTGTAAAAAGAAAATTACAATCTTGAATCTTGAATAACCGGAACATAGTGATGCCAAAAATAAGTTGGATTTTTGTTTTTTGTTTTTTATTTGATTGCAAATGGCGCAAAATCCTTTTTCATCATCATCATCATCATCATTAGATTTGTAAATATCTCAAATGAAAAACTTTTTATATTTTATTTTGACATTTAACATTTGTATGTTTCAAAGTAAACTTCATCAAGTTTGTTCGGTAGTAATAAATAAACGAACTAGCCAAATTTCATATCATTTATAATTCAAATACTGTTAATTGTTCAATGTTCTATCTTAGATAAGAAATTCATTATAATTGTCAAAGAACCATACGAAAAATTCTTTCATATTATTTTCATTCGCTTTTTCTTGTTCATAAATTTGATTGGACAAAAATTGAATGAAAAAATTCTGACCAAAATAAATAACATAAGCGTATGGGAGATAAAGTAAAAAAGGAATCTGAGCAAAATCATCCTTTCAATCGTTAATTTTTTTGATATTCCTTTGGAATGTATTATTTTACTGATAGATTTTTTTTAAGTTGCATTACTTTTTCATCAAACTAGCACTAATACACATACACAAAAGAATTGAAGCTGACTAGTTTCAGAGATTTTTTTTTTTACTTTTATTTTTGTTTCTTTCGTAATCATCATCAAAACAACTTCATTAACAACAGCAACAACAACGTCGACATAGAACAACAACCACAAACTTATAATCGCAAGAATATTCTTTGGTTGTTTTTTCTTTGAAAGATTCTGTTGATTAATTTTTTTCCGCTTTTGAATCAATTAATATTTTAAGGTTTTTAGTTGTTTTGTTTCTGCTGTCTGAAAGAAATTGTGTATTTTTTCAATTTAATGAATGAATGATTTTGATTGATTTTCAAACAAAATAAACATCTCAACTTTATCATTATCATTTTTTTTTCGTTATAACAAAATAAAACCAAGCAAAAAAAATAATGTATCGAAAAATCATTATTCATATATCATCCATTATTATTATATGGTTATCTATTTGGAATTCATGGCCACAATA